GTCCAGTTGGAAAATAACAATTCTGGTCGTGGGCCTCAAAGGGTTTGTCCACAAGACGAACTGATTATCTGATGCCCGAGAAGTACTGACAGCAACCATGCCAATGTAGAAGTTCTTAACAAATTCAACGGACCGGTTGAAACTTCTAAGGTGAAGGTAAGAAAGGTAAAGCTATCCTTGTAACAGGCCATGGAGGCCCATAGGGTTGTGAGACGTTGAGGCTCCCACATTATCTAGACAATCGACTCACAGATGGCGGTAAGGTTGTCAGCCTTACGTGCCGGCAGCCCTTTATCACCCAGGAATATTCCTGGTACTCATTTGTGTTAGCGGCTGAGTCGACCCCAGGGCCATAGTGCGGCTGGAAGGATTACGTCAACTGAAAAAATCCAATGACCTCATTGGGAAGTGGTGCCCAAAATTTGTCCGCACCTTTCAGTTACACCCTGTAAAATGTGGAATCATGAAGCGTGGACGAATTAACTTGATGCTTAATGAATATTACAGTAAATAGAGCGTTGTTAAAACCCACAAACAGAAGCTGGGAATCCTATTTTCTTAACCAAAGGCGTTAGATCCATGTTTTCTTGAAGTTATTTTTCAATTTGAGATCCTGGCACAGTTTTGGGGTGCCAGTAATGAATGCCCGGCATCAATCTACTACGTAAACCTCCCATCAGTCTCTCCTGAAGCCATTATCATGCCTCAGTAGTTAATTGCATGTGAAGCTAACCTTCAGCAGGGCGCCAGCAAATGTCAGTCAATAACTATAGATAGTGCTACTATACCGTCTAATAATGCTCCATATTTTGAGTCAACCAAGTGGACATAGAAAATTTACTCTATCAATAATCCTGATAAATCAACTGAAAATGTTAAGAAGTTCAAATATTTTAAAAGACAGCAACCAATCAAAATTACAAGAGTGCATTCGGAGACCACTCGCTACCATTAATTCAGTCTTTTGCCTCATCATCTCTCGTTTGAAAACAAATACATTAAAATATAGATTACAAAACCGTAGGTTCACTTACTGCTTCCGGGCACGAGATTTGGTCTCTCGCCAGAAGAGAAGACCACAGATTTAGGGCGGTGGAGGAACAAACTGATAATTAAATTATCTGGATTTGAGGAACAGAAAATAACAAGAAGACAGAGAAGATTATAATAAGAAGCAGCTTCGTGATTTGTTGTCTTCATTGTATATTATTGGAGTTATATTACTAAAACAGATGTCATGTGTGGGACATGAAGTGTTCATAAAAAGTATTAGTCATAATGAGGCCTTTATCCTTTCATTGGAAGTTGAAATGAGGGCGGAATTGCCCATGACGCTACTGCAAAGACAGCTCGTGTCTCCATGCCGCTACTGCAAGAATGGTGCTACTGCACAGACAGCTCGTGTCTCCATGCCGCTACTGCAAGAATGGTGCTACTGCACAGACAGCTCGTGTCTCCATGCCCCTACTGCAAGAATGGTGCTACTTCACAGACAGCTCGTGTCTCCATGCCGCTACTGCAAGAATGGTGCTACTGCACAGACAGCTCGTGTCTCCATGCCGCTACTGCAAGATTGGTGCTACTGCACAGACAGCTCGTGTTTCCATGACGCTACTGCAAGAATAGTGCTACTGCACAGACAGCTCGTGTCTCCATGACGCTACTGCAAGAATGGTGCTACTTCACAGACAGCTCGTGTCTCCATGCCGCTACTGCAAGAATGGTGCTACTGCACAGACAGCTCGTGTCTCCATGACGCTATTGCCCGAGTATATCGGTCATTTCAAAGGATATTTGGCCGTCACGGTTGCCCGATCTTGCACCCTCTGATTATTATCTGTGAGCAGCAATAGGAGACATAGCTTATAAAGACAATCCTGACATTCCCTTGAACTGAAGGAAGTCATCGCAGATTACATCAGGAACACCCTTCCGACTGACTTGTCGCGTGCCTTTAAAAACAAATATTTGGTTTAACTTGAGTAATTATATGAAATATACTTACGAATATTAATACTAAAAATGGGGCGGTTTTATCATTTGTACTGCAGATGCACAGTGACTTTGGCCTCATCCTGTACAAAAAAGTAGTTTAACATCCATTTTGGAAATATGTTCACAATCTCACGGTGGAATAACCTTAATATTGTACAGAACTACTAGGCTTATTTTGGACTCTTTCCATCGTCTGGTATATATAAGACAAAAAGCCACAATGTTTCGGAGATTGGATCTGTCTCCGTCCTCAGGTGGATGGGGCAGGATAGACTTACTCAGTTCTGTTCTCTACTAACCGGGGTTTGTCCCGTGATTGAGACTAGCTCTTTCTAACGGGCCCAACTGAGTAGGTCTATCTCTCTATCTTTCTTTCTTTCTATTTATCTATGGCTCTACTGCCCTTGTGGAACTTGGCAGCTTTTTCAGTTTCTTTATCCTATAGACAGGACTCCTTGGACGGGAGATTAGCCTATCGCAAGGCCTATACCTACAAACAGAACAACACAAACAACGAATAAACGCACACACGAACATCCATGCATCGAGTGGGATTCGAACCCACGATTCCAGCGTTCTAGCGGGATAAGACAGTTCATGCCTTAGACCACGCGTGCCCCGTGATCGCCTAACGTCAGTATCTAATACAATATAAATAAAAAATAGTAACAAGCAAGAAGAAAATACAGCAATTGTCATAATATATATTTTATAAGTAGACGTAATTTTATAATATTAGATGAAATTCTTATACATTATAATTTTAAAGCAACTTTAAAGCATTTCGTTGAATGTAAGTCTTCTGATGATGAACCTTATGGGCCGAAACATGTAAAAGCAGTAAAGTAAGTGTTACACTGTTGGTCCGTACACTTATTAAGGTGATTACTAATGACGGTGTAAGAGTAAGAATGTGACATCAAAATAATCTTGTTTGTTCAGCGTGATATCCAGTATGGAAAGTCTGGTCCCCAACTTGTGCTGAAGATTGAATTTAGTGATTTTGTTATTTTATGATGTAACGATTTACGTCATTGTCTGGTGATGATGGACTCTCAAATATGTTTTGGACGAACTACGGGAAGAGTTCTCCTTCCAGCACAAATACACTGCTGTCCGAATAGCAGAATTTATGCACCACTCTCCCATTCATGAAATAGTAATAAAAAAAAACTCGCTTCTGCCAACAACGTTCCATGTTTCCATGCCATTCTGCACAGAAGTGCTCACAATAATTCATTCAACTTCTGATTACGGTGAAGAAAAAAAGTTTCCTGAAGAAAACAGTTTTCTGGGATTTGGCACCGTGTATATGTGGTGTTAACCGACGTTTCGGAGGAACGTATCGCCTCCATACGTTCCTCCGAAACGTCGGTTAACACCACATATACACGGTGCCAAATCCCAGAAGACTGCTTTCTTCATAGTCACCGCCGTGAATGCCTCAAATCTTACAAAAAGTGTCCTGTTTTCGTATGGAAGAATTTTTCTGCCACGCTTACTGATATCGTGACCAAGTGAAATGTTGCCTCCGACTTGTACACAGGTTTAGTGACCAGCTTTTGTGAACGAATGATGAACCTTATAGATTGAAGTTCCTTCATTTTTTTTTGTTTTAATTTGTTTACCCTTTTTGTTTTCCCCTTACGAATGCATGGTTCTGAAAACGGCTTTAGAAATGCGGCTTTGTGTAGTCTGGTAGATCAATCCATATGTTTCGTAAGAACTCGTTACCTCCGTCATCAAGGTAGAGCAGTTGTTACGATTCTCCGGACATTGCGTAGAGTAATCTTCAAGGTGTAATAATGAAAACTGGTGCCTTCTCAGATATCCTGCTACCTCTGTCCTGAATATGGAGGCAGAATTTCCCTCCAAAATGTTGCTAACAATCTACAGACTATACGAAATCACATCTCATTTGACAATGATCTTCACAGTCACCGATGAGGAAACGCTAAATCTCGAATGGAACGTCCATGTTCCCTTGACTTAGATTTTTTATAGTTTTATGCAATGTCGAAGAAATTTTTGACCAGCTGAACAACTTCCATTCGCTCAAGTAACACCCTGTATCTTGGAATTAATTAACAATTCACAACGGAGAAGTGACATAGTTTGACAGTTCTGGTTTAATTAATTTCTAAGCACTACCACAAAGGTGTACATAAATGGGAGTGCCCCGTATAGATAACGCGAAGTGAAAGAGACACGCAAGAGAATTATACTACAAGAGATTTTTTTTCTGTGCGCTACAGCCCCAATTTGGGCCTAGGCCTACCTCCATGAAACTCTCCGTTTCACTTCGGTTTACTAGATCTTACACATACGGTAGGACTCCTTGGGCGAGTGATCAGCTCGTTGCAAGGCCTCTACCTGTAGACAAACACAGAAAAAAGCACACAAACATCCATGCCCTGAGTGGGATTCGAACCCACGATCCAGACTTCCGAGCGAGCGAAGACAGTGCATGCCTTAGACTGCTCGGCTACCGTGACCGGCACAGGAGATTGATTAAGTATACTTAAATGAAATCTCCGTTCTTCCCACAGGCAACTTATTCTCTTTGTAATGCAAAAATCTGCATTCAGCCCTTTCTTTTCTTATTCTCTTCGACTGCACTTCATATCAAATGATGTTGGTCATGAGGAGCTCCATCATTTCTATATAATGTAGTGTTGTCTGCTGAAAGTCAACCGACGTTTTGGAGGAATATGTCGCCTACATCTGCAATGCTGAATATTAAGGCAAGGAAGAAAACAGCGCGAAGCAGGCAGGAAAGACAGCATTTGGCCTGCGGGATTATGGGATTATAGGGAGACAAAAGGGACTGAGTGACATGTTTCTCCGAAACGTCGGTTGACGTTCAACCCAGTATTGTGTAGTACGGCCCCACATCCCAGAAGACTGCTCTCTTCATACTCACTGCCGTGAAAACCTCAAATCTTACAAAAATATTCATGATTAAATGTAAGATATACAAACTTTACATAGAGGTCATGGCTCACCGTAATCTTCCTCGTACACGATGGCAACTTTGGTCCAGTTGAGGAAGGCCATGACGTCTTGAAAAGCGGAGTTCAGCAAGGGTTGGGCAGGGTGAAGATTGATGGAGAACTCCTTGTAATCTGCGTCGAGGTCGAGACGCGCCTCCAGGTGTGGGATGTCCAAAGCGTCGCATATTGAGTGTATGTGTGCTCCTAGGAGCGGGTCAGACGGTCCGAACACAGCTTGAACGCCGAAGTTCACTAACTGGCATGCTGGGGACAAGAAAAGAGATTCTAAGAGTAGTGTCTCTTGACGAGGAAAGCAGAGGCGTAAGTGACGCGTCACATACTACACAGAACAATATGAACAGCTGGTGTGTGTCCATTTCATGACGCTTTAAATACCGCACTATACACGTACATAGCGTCGAATAGTAGAACGATAGAAAGAATTTGGAAGAATGCAGTTGCGTAGTAATAGGACGGTCATTTCCATTGAATTACTGAGGAAAATTACGATAAACCTCTCAGGATATGATTGGGCAAAACTCAGTAGGTATAGCAACCGGGCTACAGGCTGGACGACAGTGGTAAGAAATTGTTCTCTTCTCCATAGAATACTACGATATAGCACAGTCGGTATAGCGACTGGTTACGAGCTCGACGACCGAGGGATCGGAGTTCGAGTCCTGGTAGGGTCAAGAATTTTCTCTGCTACACATCGTCCAGACTGCTTCTGGGGTTCACCCAACCTCCAATCCAGTGGGTACCAGGTGTTTTATCCCTGGAGGTAAAGCACTGCGGTGCACAGCCATATTGTGGTTTTCTGTGTTATGACACCGTATAGTCTGCTAGGTAAAGTATATCTACTTTACGAATCAGGTTATGCATTACCTTGTGTAAGCAAACTTAAGAAAGAAAATGCATGTGTAAACAACATGTTTGGAATTCACAGCAGCGTGTGAATACGGGAAGTACGTTGCAATCTGGTGACGCTGTAATGATGACGCAGTGGTTTTGGCGGCTTCTCAAGAAGGGCTCAGCCCCACTGAGTTACGCAGTTGCATGTAGTAACCGGTATAGCATGTGGCTCTTTGGAGCCACAGATCTTGGAAGCAGCTACATAATTGAACATTTGGCTGTATGCCTGTCAACTTCTGGGAGCAAGTTGGAATTTGCTCACCAGATATCAAAACTTTGAGTCAGTGGGTGTAGTACTAAGAGTTAACATGTGAAGGACACACACACCAAGCCTCTCGCTCTGTCGAGCTAAGATATACTGTAAAGTCGGCTGGAAGCTTCTCACCCTACCGCAGGTCGGCAAGGCCTCTGTCGGGGTTAATATATCGACCCCCCCCCCTTTGGGTGACACGCTCGGTGGTGTTATGAACTTCACAGTTATACAAGAACGAAAACAGTGAGTGGGCGCCCAAAGACAAAGCGAAGCCTGCTACCAAACTTGATTCTAGCCACCCTCACATCATCTATTATAAATATTACGCCCTTGCAACGCAAAACTGCGTATACAGTTTAACAGTGTTCATTGTGTTAACATTAACTATACCGTCACGTGTCCCGGAATCCGTGACTAATAATAGCGGGTTCTGGATTGGATGATTAGGTTCATTGGCACTTCTGTTACAATTACAACCAATTATAAGGGCTCACAATCAATGACTGCCTAAGACTCACTCCATTCTTTATTGGTCAACGAGTGTCTTCTCTTCTGCGTGACTGACTTGGTTCTGATTTACGAATCGGTCACTTCTTCAGCTTCCGTTGTCCGCTGGTTAACACGCCACAGCTGAACACTGAACTCTCGCGGACTGAACTGAACTTCTTCGTCCTTTCATAACTTGGAAGAGAATCGAATATAGATTACCATCTCGAACAATTCGTCTGTTAATGCGTCTATTCATTGCCGCGAGAACGTGTGTTACTTCCGTGGTGAGACATTGTCTAGCAATGGACCACTCCGGCTTTCAGTCGTCATGTCACGATACGTACAATAGTTGCTTGCATCTTACAACAAAAGGAAAACGGGAAATGCTTTGACCAGACCCCACTATCATACCACCGTGCATCAGCCCATGTACGCACACATTTCGGGCACGCGTGAACCACAGCTCCTCTACAAGTTAGACAATCTTCTTACAAAGTCCCTTCCGACTCTGAACGCAAGACCTCACCACTGCATGAAGTGTGCAGCCACAGTGCGCCAAGCAACTGAAGTGGACCCAGCCCACTGGCGCCCATCTGAAGCTAGAAGTGTACAGACACAAGTGGTTACGGTAACATTAGCGAGCAACGTGGCACAATATGCAGAGGAACACCAAGACCGGTTGCAATATCCTTACGTTCTCCACAAGCACACAGCATTCATATTACGAGTGTCAGTTTGGTAAAACCACCGAGCGCGACAATCCCTCTCTACAGGCTTCAAATAAGTGAAATATAATCATAAACAGACTGACTACACTGTGTTAGGAAAATGACGACTAAAGGAAAGGGCGTACTCAAGAAAAACGCTTTAATTATTTGAATTGTGATACTACTTCTATGAAAGATTAAGATATTGTCACTTGTAGGGTGGTACGCATGACGAAAATGACGGGTTCTAGTTCGGATGATAGTATTTATTGTTTCTTTTGTTACAACCTCTCTTAATCACACACAAATACAACAAATCACAACAGAAACGTAAGCCCAGACATATTAAAGTAGAAAAAACATTTACCTGTGCTCACTTAATTAAGCACTATTCCATGAAGACAGATGGGGAAATGGAAATATAGCTCCACCATCCTTTAAACTCAGCACTGGATGGAGGTGAGTGATCAGTTTGAGGCCTCGACCGCTTTACTTCCGAGGAAAGAGTCCCACGTACCCACTGGATAGGAGGGTGGGTGGGTGTTAGTGCTAGTATGGGCAATGTGGAGAAAAGAAAAATCTCTTGCCTCTACCGGGGATCGAAACTCAGCCGTCCTGCCCGTAGCCTGTCGGTATACCTACTGAGCTATCCCGGCTTCCATATATAAAAAATTACAAACATTTTATTGAAATAAAAATGAAGTTTCTTTGAGCTGATGTAAGCACCACGCAATGAAGATGTACGTATTCATTCGTAACCTCGGCACTAGATGGAAGCGGGTGATCATCTTCACGTCCCAGACAAAGAGTCCCCTCAGCACCCATTGGGTAGGAGGCAATATGGGCTGCAGATTCGGTCTGGGCGCTGTGCAAAGAGAGAAATATCTCTTGCCTCTGAGAGAAATCGAACATCGACTCCTCGATCGGACTACTCAAACCTAATAACTGTAATGACAGGTATTCTAGCGCCTGTTTGGTTTATGTGCACGATTCGAAGATTAACATGAAATCGGAACGGGCAACGCAGGATTCGAGGACATTAAAACGAAACTACCAGCACAGAGCCGGTGGCAAGAGAAACGCAGGAGGTCCCGAATGCGAATCACGGACCAGTATAAAGCCTTGGCACACCAAAAGACTTAATCTTTGATTGATGATATACGCTTAGATACTACTGCCCTTTAAACAGCTGACAACACTATCACTATCACCGTTATCTGCTTTACAGATACAAGGGTAGAACGTACATCTGCAGCTAAAGCGATTTGCGAACAGACAGCTAAAATCTTGTTATATCCCCTTGATAAATATTGGTGTTGCAACAGCGGCGCTACGCTCGCAGAGGGACTAATAGACTATGCAAATTTCGCCACTACCACGTTGTCAACTTTCATACTCATAATCAAATAATCTCTCTGGCATGTAGTGTTCACAATCCCTACAGCGGCTGCTGCCTCTTGATGACAAGAATTTATTTTCAGGTACTTTAAAGAGTATGCATAATGAGGAGCTTCGTAACTTGTACTCTTCTAGAAGTATAATTAGAGTGATCAAGTCAAGGAGAATGAGGTGGGCAGGTCATGTAGCACGAATGGGGGAGACGAGGAATGCGTATAGGATATTGTTGGGAAAGCCGGAAGGAAAGAGACCACAGGGAAGACCAAGGCGTAGGTGGGTGGACAATATTAGAATGGATATTAGAGAGATAGGATGGGATGGTATGGATTGGATAGATCTGGCTCAGGATAGGGATCAGTGGAGGGCTCTTGTGAACACGGTAATGAACCTTCGGATTTCATAAAATGTTGGGAAATTCTTGAGTAGCTGCATAATTGGCGGCTCCTCCAGAAGGGCTCAGCTCCATGAGTAAGTAAGTAAGTTTAAAAAGTANATTTTTCCGTGTGTAGGTAGCGACTTTGCGACGGGCTGATCCCCTTTTGAAGGAGTCCTACGGACTGTGTGTAGAGTTAAGAAACTAAAAAAAAAAACTGCCAAGGTTCAACAAAATGCGATGTAGAGCTAATATACACAAAACCTGGGACCTATTCATTAGCCAAAGAAAATTAGGACCAGCTACATCATCCTGAAGTTGAACCTTGCTCCAGTTCTTGTTGCGGAGCATGTTACGGTGTTTCTGAACTCAGAGCGGGGTCTCAGCTGCTCGAGTTCACAGTAAAACTTCGACTCGGCTGTCAACCAGAATCATCGTAACAGTAGGAATGACGTATTCGGTTCTTGTCCACGGTGACTCGCTCTGTTGCAGGGATTGTGGAACTGAATTAAACGGTTCGTCTTGTTGTCTAGTTTTAGTGCAGTCAATGACAAAAACAGACGAATCTCTCAGACTCTCCGTTCAGAGGAATAATATTGTCACGTTCATGGGTGACTAAAGACTGGGTTCGGATTGTTAATCGCATTTATTAACCGTCTACATATCGTAACTACAATTAATCATTTCACTATTACTGATTTACGACAACTCCACACTAATCTCTTCGTCTACCTGCACTAGATCTCAAGGACTTATAACACAGGAACTATAACAGCCTCACTAAATCACACAATTCCAATATCACTGTGCTTCAGAGCACTGAAGTCTTCAAAGCACACGCTGACTTCTTTCACTCTTCTCTGCTCCTAATCCCAATTCGCTCTAATCCTACAGATCATAACTCTCGTTAAATAGCAGAGGAACGGACATGAACCTACAGGAAATACATACCACGTGATCGCAATCCAGCCATTCTATTGGCACATCGGTTGGATCTACAGAAAACACAGCTTCCTCTATTGTTGCATGTTGGATCATAGCTGCTGCCTGTTAATCAAGTCCAGTTGCAATATATTTCTTTGTATAATGCAGATGGGCCGGTCACGGTAGCCGAGCGGTCTAAGGCATGTAC